ATGTTTTACTTGACAATATTGGGATATTTTCAATAATGTAAATGAAAATACTTCAATAGTACACAGTTTTATGAATACATTTTTAAACATTATTCTAATGCTTAGCACACTTATAATGCATGAAAATGAAAACTGTGACTTAGTGCCAAAGGAAAAAAGTAACACCTTCATGGTTTGGCTTTGTAGTTGTTTTCCGTGTTAATCTACTATATTAAGAAGTCAAGAGGAAGACAAGATGTTGGTGTTAATGAATTTATATGACTGAAAAATATTATGTTAGCACTTGCACAGTGTGTTCAATCTGTTTTTATCACTAGGGTACCAAACTCTGCAGTCTCGACCTCCCCTCTCTCCCCCAATTGTTTTTTTTTACATAACTTAGGCTTTGTTTTCTATAAGAACCAGATGGTAGGGAAAGGAATGTGGTAAAGTTCCAGGATAACCGTGGACTGTCGTCACGACGAATGTGACAACCTCAGAGGACACAGCTAAGGATATAGTTCAAGCAAGAGACCTAGAATGCCTGTTGTGACCAAGCTGTTTGCAGGTAGTGACCATCATGTTTATTTTAGTTTTGTTACACTCTGCTATTGAAAGAAATTTTGAAAGAAACATTGAGTAAATTTTTTGTTTTGTTTTAAAGGGTATTTTTTTATAATGTATTTCTGAATGATGTATTTTAATGTGTTAATTGATATGGGGAGTATTTTAGTTGATGTTTTAACGATTTAGAAGGCTTATTTTCTGTGATGTTTTCTTTGGTAGTTTTGTTCTGTGTGTGTATTGTGTGTGTTGCATTCTCTAGTTAAACCGATTTTCCAACAAGCGTTAGATGGGTATACCCACAGCTAGCAGCAGATTTGCACATGGGTTAAAGTGGAGGGTTTCTGTGTTAGATAACTAGAATTGGTTGCTTTTACATGTAGAATAGAGAGACTCGACGACGTTGAGGAAGTTAACAAAATCTTTACTACAAAACTAAAACAAGAAAAAGCAACGTGCACACCAACGCAGACATTGTGACAACCCTTTCTACAAGTGGATGTTTAGCTCCACAGCCTCCCTTCTCTCGAGATTGATTTCTTAGGAATCAAACACCCTGATCTCTAATGTTAGGGCGAGAGTGGATTAAAGTCTAATTAAGATTGCTTTATGGTCCTTGTAGATTTTAGGTTGTTTTTTTTCGCTAACACTCTTAATGTTGATATTTGCAACGAGCATGTTGTTTCATTATTTTTTCAGGTAGTGTAACTTTTAAACTATGAAATAGAAACAATTTTATCACTTTTGCACAACTGAAGATAGGATTTACATTGTTAAAAAATGTAAAAAAAAACTGGCGTGAAGCTGCAATGTTTGCGCATGCTAGAAAGTGCGAACACAAAGGGCTTCTTAGATTACGACATTAACAAACGAAAACAGTTATTTATAATTCATCATAACATGACACCCTGCTTATTCAAGAATATCTATCATTATTTTCCTAATGCCTGGCATGACCTGGTGGATAGGGCGCTCGACTCGCAATCTGCGGGTCGCTGATTCGAATCTCCATCGCCGAACACACTCGCCCTTTCAGCTGTGGGTGCGTTATAACGTGACAGTCAAGCCTACTATTTGTTGGTAAAAAAGTAGTCCGGTGTGCGGTGTTGACTAGCTGCCTTCCCTCTAGTCTATCACTGCTAAATTAGGGACGGGTGGCGCAGATAGCCCTTGATTAGCTTTGCGCGAAATTCCAAACCAAAACATTCCTCTCCATGTGAAGTATAAGCTATCCTGCATCCAGTTTGAAGGTTATTTTCAGATGAGATCATTGATGTAGAGATATTACAATTTGTGATACATGTAGACTGCTAGTAGCAGCTACTAGTCAGTCTAAACATATTAGATGGTAAACTGGTTCCTTGTCTTCATGTAGATAACTGGAATGTCTGGATTATATGACTTTGATATTGGTGTGCTTCGTTTCTTTACTGATAACTTAGGTTTCTGGACTGAATATTTTAGGTCTAATCCTGTTGTTGGGTTGATTAGAGTTCGTAGTTAGATTATACATTTATACGAACAATACATTATGGCCGATGAACCTATTCATAAACGTCATCCTTATGAGGGAACCGATTTCAAGTTGTGCATCAAGTGCCAGGTCGCCGATTGGAAATTAACGGATATTTGAAGAACAATATAATCACATAAATTGTTAGATGTAAAAAACTACCTTTATTATTTCATTTTTTTTTATTTTAAGACATTATAGGTAGTACCCTCAGTGAGTGACTGTACAAACACATCTGTTACTTTGTCTACACAATGTTTTATTTTATGTTTATAAGCAGAGCTACTTGTCAACTTGGAATATCTTACTTAATCAGGTTTAACACAAACACTCATTTTGAAGCAACCAGCAGTCATTTACACAATGAAAACTTATGTTAGAATGTACGTCATAATTATGTGACTTTCAGATTAGTATACATCTCTCTCACTCCGCTCCCGACTACTGAATACTCTATTTTCAATACAACACAAGCTTATATTACTTTGAATCGTGACATGAGTACTGTCTGGTTATATATAATAAACAACCATCACTTTTTGCTATATTATTTTTCTTAGATGGAAATTAGATGTAGCCGTTTTTAACTGACCACTAATGGCAACTATACGACTATAATAAATGATAAATATGGTAAAAAGTATGCAATACTCAATTAAATGTAGGAACATTGGTTCTGCACTTGTAATCGAAACCAATTTCATAAAATTGTAAATAAGTGTGAACTGTTCGTCGACATATCTGAACACATCAGCAGCAGCAATTTGTTCTTAATTTAATGGTAGACAGTGGTCAGTCCCGCTTTCATTATTGCATTAGAGAGAGAGAGATAAGCTTGCACATGGTTGATCTTTGTCACTTCTAAATTACCTTGAAGTTTCAAAAGGACAAGTGGGACTAAGACTTTTTGTAATCGTACTCCAGTCTATGAGCAATGGGAAATATGCACGGTACCAAAAACAGTTTATTTTTAATGTTACTATACTTTTTAAACACACGTTTTTAACATGTAATGAAACGTGTTTGTAGGAAGAGCAACAACCTGCTAGGTAAATGCTCAAGTTGGTTTGTCTGATGTTAGTACTAGTAGTATCGCAAATATATATTGTAATGAATTTGTTGTCATGTATTTATTTTTAATATGAACGTTGTTTAGATTAAGTTTGTATTTAAAAAATATGCGTAACTTATAGTGTCAGATATGTATTGCGTGTAACGAATTTGTTATATATTTATTTTAATGACAACGTTTGTTTGGATTGAGTTTATATTTAAAAACGTGCCTTCCTTACAGTGTTAGTTACCTACTGCGAATCGGAGACAAAATTGTAATTTAAATCATAATTGAATTTATATTTATCAGTGCCAACAAGATTTGATCATGTCGGATTATCAAGATTTTCTTGTATCACCCCCCCCCCTAAAACAACTAGAAAAATATAACAAAATGAATTCCTCGAAATTGCTAACATTTCAGAGCTAAAAGTTAAAAGGTCAATGAGAAAAAAAATGAACTAAAAAAGCGTATTATCGAAATACTATTCGATGATGATTTGTTGCCTGAGGAAGCATTAGGGGAATACTTTAGTGTCCCTACTAGCCAATCGAGGTTGAGTGATAAAGATAAAACTCAAACAAATCGACCTCGAACAAACTCGTATTGAAGCCGTGAAAGAACAAACTCGAATTGAAGCCGAGAAAGAAATTAAACTGAAATAAATTGAAATTAGACTTAACTGCCATCGACCATCGCAAAATAACAACTTTGAACTTAATCGATATGTTAAAGTCCCACCATTCAATGAAAATGAAGTAGATAAATATTTCCAACATTTTGAGAAGGTTGCCCAAACCATGGAATGGCCCATCGAAAAATTATTACAAAGTGTCTTAACTGGTAAAGCAAAAAAAGCCTACGCCGCTCTCACTTTAGAAGATTGTACGAATTATGAAATGGTTAAAGCAGCTATTCTCAAAGTGTACGAGTCAGTACCGGACGGAAGCTTATCGCCAAAAGTTTAGTTATTGCAAACAAGACGGCATGTGTCAATCTTGTTGGCAAATAGCGTAAATTAACTAAAATATCTGCTTCGGACTATTTTAAATTCTCAATACGTAACAATATATATATATATAGAGAGAGAGAGAGGGGGGGGGATAAGTTTGCATATGGTTCACCTTTCTCACTTCTAACTTACCTTGAAGTTTTAAAAGGATAAGTGAGACCATGACTTTTTGTAATCATACTCTAGTGTATGAGCAATAAGAAATATGTACGGTATCAGAAACAGTTTTCAATGTAAAATGCATAGGAAATCCTCCAGTAATAACCCATGGAATTAATTACAATAACGATGATATTTTTTGTTGACGCTTTTCTTTTCTCTGCGACTCGTACGTTAATATTACTAGAATTAAAATTATAAAAACCTGTAGCAGACAATTCATGACCCTACGAGAAATTTGGTGCATAAATAGTGCAGGAAAATAAAAATTTTATATGCGGAAGAGGTCCCATCGGTGATTTTAAGAGTTAAAGAATGGTATCAGTATAGAAATATTTTGCTTTCTAAATTCAAATATAATTTCGGAACTTTTAGGCTTTTCAATGCACATTTTTCTCTAACTTTTATTACTTAGCAATGGTCTAGTTTTAAACAGGTACATATATTAGTAATATTATTACTATTATAAATAATATTTGGATCGAAATAGTCAAATACATAACGTTAACAATAGCAGTTTCTTTTTAATGTTACTACATTTTTTTTTAAACACACGTTTTTAACATAATGAAACGTATTTTCGAAAACACCGATTAAAACATTTTAAAATTCTTATGTGTTTTGTTTTCCCAATCTACAAGACTATTTTTCGTTCCATATGTTGGTTATGAAAATAGAAAAATTTAAAAGAATTACCTAATTCCTGTAGTTACACGTACCTTTACTTCATCCAAAAGTTCCTGTCTGGTCATTCCTATTTTGTTTGTTACTTCAAACCCATTCTCTCGTAAAATTTTTGCACATACTGAATCCACATTTTCACTTATCAAAACTGAACGAATATTATTTACCATGTTGACAAAATGAAAGGCACCGTTTGCCTACGTCTACAATTTATAGGAAGATGAGAGCAACAACCCGTTTGGTAAACGCTCAAGTCGGTTTGTCTGAGGTTAGTACTTGTACAACTAGTATCGCAACAGATCTATCACTAACATTCAAATCTAAGTTCGTGATTTCAGTAACTCGATGAACTAAAAGTAACGCGTGAACAATGCAGATTTAAGTCATGCACTGGAAGAGCGAACAAACTCCAAATCCTCAAGCTGAAGTTCAATTATCCCCCCCCTCACTTTTTTCCCCCTCCTCCGAGACAAGCGCATGCGCATTTGTGACATATATTCTGACCAGCAACATTAGACCGGTTATGTACCGAAGTGAACAAGAAAATTGTTTGTATTACCCTGATTGAGTAAAGAATGTTTAGCAGTTTAAGATATGCGCCCTTGCTAGAGTTGTTAAACTTCTTTTCGTGCTTTTAATTAGGGTGCTGTAAAATATGCAACACGTTATATTTTCGAGAAATTCACTTTAAAAAAATACACATTTTAGGTTTAAAAATCTTAATGGTGTATTGTTTGTTTGTTTTAAAGTTAAGCACAAAGCTACACAATGGGCTATCTGTTGTAAGTCCGCAGACATACCGGT